CACTGAGCCACACTCCAGCCCCTCACTGGGGGATTCTAGGCAGGGGCTCTACCACTGAGCCACACCCCAGCCCCTCACTGGGGGATTCTAGGCAGGGGTTCTACCACTGAGCCACACCCCAGCCCCTCACTGGGGGATTCTAGGCAGGGGCTCTACCACTGAGCCACACCCCAGCCCTTCTTTCACTTCTTCATTCTGGGACAGGGTCTCACTAAGTTGCATAGGTTGGCTTTGAACTCACTCTGAATCCAGAAACATCTTGAATTTTCAATCTTCTTGCCTCAGCCTTCTGAGCAACTAGGATGAGAAGCCTGTGCTACCAGCCCCAGCTTGCCTTCAGATTTTTTAAAAATATTTTATTTTTATTTTAATGTGCATTGGTGTTTTGCCTGCATGTATGTCTGTGTGAGGGTGTCAGATCTTGGAGCTACAGACAGTTTGTGAGCTGCCATGTGAGTACTGGGAATAGAATCCAAGCCCTCGGGAAGAGCAGTCAGTGCTCTTAGCCATCTCTCTAGCCCTCAGCTTCAAATTTTTTAACCTATAAAGAGTTGAGGACTGAGTGAGGAGAGAAAATAGGTGAAGGACCAAGTCCAGACAGAGTTGGGGAAAACACTGGAGATACAGAAAAGACAGTGTGTCTGTTGCTATTAGCAACAGTGTTTTGGTCCTTGGATGGGAATTCAGGCACACAGTAGCCACTCAAAGCTGTATTCCTGGAAGCACACGGGCTTGAGTTCGAATTCTGACATGCCGGTAACTAGCCTTGTGGCCGGGGCAGGTGGCAGGTGGCTCTTGGAGTCGAACTTCAGTGTCTTTGTCACTAACATGGGGGTAGTAAGAGTTCCCCCTCTCGAGTTCTAGCTGGAATCAGAGCCCAGGCTCCTTGCCATCTCTCTCTGCTTCAACCAGACAAGGGGCAGGCAGGATGGTGACATGTGGCAGGACAGGTCTGCTCCAAGGGCTGAGTGGCGGCTGCCTACAGCTGTGGGTGGGGAGGGAGGAGACCGGCAGAGACTCCAGGGAGCACCGGGGTAGGAGTAGAGAGAGCTGTCTCCAGAGCAGCCATCTGGGCCCTAGCACTTTGGAGGGGGAAACACCCAACTAGGCTGTGGACGGTAACTAGGAGGGACAAGGACCAAGTGTGGACCTGCCCCTCATGGGGGGGGGGGGCTGTGCCACAGACTCCGGTCTGCTCCCCAAGCCTACCCGATGTGCTCCGCAGGTTCAGAAAGCTCACATGCAAGCTCACCCAACTTGGCTCTCCACTGTGCTCTCTCCCATTCCTCAGACCTTCTGTTTTTGGTTTTGAGGCAGGGTCTCTTGTAGCCCAGGCTGGCCTGCAGCTCTCTAGGTACTGAGAATGGCGTTAAAGTCCTCGTCCATCTGCCTCCACTGCTGCGGTTATGGATGTGTACCACCATGACAGTGTTGCTTTGTTTGGGGGTTTGAGTGTGAGTGTGGCGTATGCACACTTGTGTACAGGTGCACATATGCAGAGGCCAGAGCAGGGCTCTGGGTGTCCTGCTGAGGCACTCTCTGCCTTACCCCCTTAGGACAGGGTCTCTCACTAGACTTGGAGCTAGGCTAGTGGCAAGCAAGCCCAGTGGTCCTCCTGCTTCCTCAGCAGTGTTAAAGGGCTGGGTGTGACCACACTCAGCTTTTGTTTTTAACACAGCTGCTGGCATTCAAACTCTGGTCTTTAGGGTTGACCAATAAGCATTCTTACCCACTGAGTCATCTCATCACCCCCTATCCCTAAGTTTTTGTTAAAATCTTGTGATATAGCCCAGGCTAGCCTTGAATTCACACAAATCCTGTATCAGTTATTTCTTTTTTAAAATAATTTTTATTTTACTTTATGTATATCATCACTTTGCCTGTGTGTACACCACCTGTGTGCTCCTGGAACTGAGTTACAGATGGTTGTGAGATGCCATGTGGGTGCTGGGAATTGAACCCGGGTCCTCTGGAAGAGCAGTCAGTGCTCTCAACCTCTGAGCCATCTCTCCAGCCTGCAGTCAGTACCCTTAACTGCTAAGCGATCTATCTCTCCAGCCCCCATGCCTCACATACATCTTAAGGACATCTTTGGGTGTTGGGATAACAGGATGGTGTGTGCCACGTATGTTGGGAGCAAAAGAGAATCCTAGACGCCTCAAGGAGGGGCTGGCGTCCAGCTGTCAGAGGGCTTAGCTGGCGCGCACAAAGCTCTGGGTTCCATCCCCAGCACCGCATAGACTGGATTTGGCGGTGCACACCCGTCATCCCAGCACTGAAGAGGTGAAGGCAGGTGAATCAGGAGTCCAAGGTCATAATCAGCTATACAGTGAGTTCGAGGCTGGCCTAGAATACATAATAACTCATCTCAAAAATATAGTGAGGCGAGGGAGGAGAGGAAGAGGAGGAGAAGGTGGGGAGAAGAGAGGAGAGAGGCGGGGGAAATAAAGGAAAGAAAGCTCAAAACGTTTCCCTGTCCCCACTGTCCTATCCAGTGCTCAGCATCGGGGAAGGAGGCTTCTGGGAAGGCCAGGTCAAAGGTCGAGTTGGCTGGTTCCCCTCTGACTGCCTAGAAGAGGTGGCAAACCGCTCCCAGGAGGGAAGACAAGGTAACAAGGGATGGTCTCCATCACACCCACAATCTTCCTGTCTCTCCTGCCCCACCGCACGGGGGTGCAGGAGTCTGGGGGTAGGCTTGAGCTTGCTGTTTACAAAGTGAGGGACCAAGGCCTTTTGTCCCCGCAGAAAGCCGAAGCGACAAGGCAAAGAGACTCTTCAGGCATTACACAGTGGGCTCCTACGACAGCTTCGATGCCCCAAGGTAAATGTCCTCACACGCTTAGGTGTCCCCCCACTCCCAGCTCCCTTCACACACCACAATAAGGCCTCTCTCTCCCGTTGATCTACTTGAAAGTTGGGAGAAGGCAGAATTCTGTTAATGAACAGCCCAGTCCCAAATCTGCCCCTGGCAGCCACTGAGACCATCTAGTTTAGGGATACCCAAAACATGGGTTAGGGTGTCTTGGGGCCCCAGGTTCTTGTGTGCGGGCTAGTTAACAGCCCTGCTCTCCTTCCTGTTCCCCCATCTGTGTGCAGTCCCATACTGTGGACATATGTACATCCTGTGTGCCATACAGTGTGGGGGGTGGAACCAGCAGGACCCAATGGGTGGGCACAGGGAGAGGGGCACACTGACACCTGTCCCCTCCTTGGCTGCTGGCTGACTTGCTTCTGAAGTCTGATCAATGGGATTGACTCAGGGAGGTGAGAGGGGCGGGGTAGGGTGGGGATTGGGCCAGGATGGGGTGCTTGTCTATGGGGGATGAGAATGTGTATGTGTGCATGACCAGAGTTGAGGAGTCCCAGCGTGTGGACATTGTCTCTGCCAGTGTGCATGACGCTTCCGCGTGCATGTACAGGCAGAAGGCCCTTAGTTGGATATCACTGTAAATATCCCTAACCAAGGCTGTGTGCGGCAGTCCTCAGTGCACAGGGGTGCATTTGTGTCAGTGTTGACTGTGGGGCTGGCTTTGCACATGTGTGCTTCTCTGACTGTGGGCAAGCACTGCCAGAGATGTCCATGTGTCTGCTGACATGTGACCAGGTGACAGATCTCTACACACCCTGCGTCATTGCGTGTGCTTTGTTAGCCCGGTGCGTGTCTGTCTTTCTTCTCTGATTGGTCTGGAATTCAGAACCTGGAATGCTGTGGGAGGGAAGGGCAGAGGAGGGACAGACTCCAGGGGCCCAGGGCTCTGCTGTGGGGAAGAGAAGCCATAATCCAGGGTCTGAAAGATGACACCCTCCTCTGCCACCCCATCCCACCCCAATCCAGGGAAGGGTCTCCCTGTTCACAGTATCCCTCCATTAAATGTGTCCAAACCTGTGTCTGTGTTCTGGCCAGTGGGGGAAAGGTCTGGGTGGGGGAGGAGAAAGGAATGATATCATGGGTGGGGACAGGGTGGGGCTGGGGTGCCAGCCACCCTGCGCCCCAGGGTCTGAGGCGGATCATCTTGTGCCTGTTCACCTGGTACGTCTCTGGCTCTGGGCACTGGGTGAGTATGGAGGCTCCCTCTACCCCAAGTCAGCCTCTCTGGAGGGGAGGTGTCTCCTGGGCCTGGGTCTTGGGGTGATGGGAGGGGTCTCTTTCAACCCCAGTCTCCATCTTCCTTTCTTATAACTATCCTGTCCTGAAGCCTTGCCATTTCTGTCCCTTCTCCGCCTCTCCTGGGGCTGAGATCCAAATGTCCCTTCAACAATGCCTTCCCTCCGCTCTACCTGACCTAGTCTGCAGTGCCCTGGCTTGTGTGCTCACACTCTGCACCTTACTCTTGGTCCCCAGCATCCCAGCGAGAGCTGGGCCGCTTGCTTGTGTACCTACCCTCCTTGTTCCACTTTCTCTCCTCCCGCCTGGGGGGGGGGGCGGTGCGGTGGGGGTCCACGGCTCTGGTGAGCTGTGGTGTGTGGCCCCTCACTACTCTCTGTTTCCGTGTTCTGGGTCCCAGTTGAGTGTCTTGGGTCCTTTACCCCACGCCACCCCCGCACCCTGCCTTTCCTTACTATGTTGGGGATGAGGTGTGTGTGTGTGTGTGTGTGTGTGTGTGTGTGTGTGTGTGTGTGTGTGTGTGTCTACGCTGAGGGTGGGCTGTTTGCCCTCTCTTGGGGACGTGTCTGCC